ATGAACCAACAAACAAGATTTTAGGGATGTAAATTCACCGGGACATAAAAGATAGGAAGATTTGATTTTATTAGAAGAATTACTTACTGAAGGTCTTGCAATGCTTGAATATGTAAGGGTGTAAACCAGTTTCTACCCCATTTTCTATCAAGTTATCCTCAAGTATGAGTTCTAACAATGAACTAGGGAGGATGAAAATATCTCGAGTACTCTATACATTAACCGTGAGAAGTCTTATGAATACCATGATTGATATAAGACTAGACATTGTACAAACAGTAATAGCGATTAGTAGATTAATAAAAAATTATGGTGGAAAACATGAATATTATTAAGAGAATTTTTATTAAAAGAACCTTGAGATGTTGTATTATGTTTCGAAAGATCAAAACTAGTTGTCATGCCTATGTTTGTTCAGGTTTTGCAGGTGATCTTGGTGAGTTTACCTTTATTGGAGAGACAATAACTGGTTATCCAAGTTATAGGATGTTGTAACTATGTCTATCATATAAGCTGAGTACATGGCAGCCACCTAGGTGCGTAAGAAAGCTATTTGGATTAAGAGAATAATGGAGAAACTCAAGCATAAGCAGTAACAAATTGTTGTATATTATGACAATCAGAGTGTTTTGCACATTGCAAGGAATCCTACCTTGTATTTCAGGACAAAGTAAGAACAACCTAGTAATGACAAATTTACATAAAAGTGATCCTATTGAAGGTCTATTGCAATAACAACATAGAAGACAATAATAATGTATTGTAAAGATTTGATTAATTTAATAAAAATCTTAAAGTGAGAGAATATGAGAAGAGAAGTCCCACGTTATATATTGATGCTTACTTTTTCTTTTATAAAAGGAGCATAATATTTATCTTGTAAATCACCTTAAATCTCTTCATTCACTTATTTACTAATGTATTACATAGTAGTTGAGTTCTCTTATTTTTTAGAGAGATATTATTATTGTTTTTCTCCTAAGATTTAAAGAGGGTATTATAATTTCTTCCAGTAGTAAAATTCTATTATTTTCTATTATCAGTTTTGTTTCTCTTTTCTTATCTTTAGTTTAGTTGTTAGTTCTTATGCAGTTACTCTGATTCCTAACATTACTTTTAAACATGATTGTTGGATTAAAGCTATGGAAGCATCTCAAAGCAAATAACACTTGGTATCTCACCACTCTTCCTCCCCATAAAACAACCACTGGATATTGTTGGATATATAAGATTAAACACAATGTCTATGGTTTCATTGAGAGATATAAAGTTCGTCTTGTTGTCAAATGTTACACCCAAATGGAAGACTTTGACTTTCTTGATACGTTCTCTCTTGCTCCTAATCTTACGACCATTCGTCTTGTCCTTACACTTTCAGCTATTCATCATTGACATCTCAAACAATTAGATTTCAACAATGTTTTCCTTTATGGTGATCTAAGTGAAAAAATTTATATGAAACTGTCACCACTAGACTTGATTGCTTCTCAGCCTGGTCAGGTCTGTCAGCTCCAATGTTCTCTCTATGGTCTTAAGTAGGACGGTCATAAGTGGTTTTCGCGACTCTCCTCATTTCTCTTATCCAATGGTTACAAACAATCACCCTTCGATCATTCTCTCTTTCTGAAGAATTTAGGTTCCATAATCATCATTCTCCTCATTTACGTGGATGACATTCTAGCAGGAAACAATATTGTAAAAATTACAAACATCACTCCTCTATTTGACTTCGCCTTTAAGATTAAGAACCTTGGTGATTTGCAATTCTTCTTAGGTCTCGAAGTTGCCCACAACCTTTCTAGCATACACTTATATCAACGTAAATATACCCTTGATCTCCTTTTTGACAATGACTCGCTTGCCTCTCGACCAACATTTACACCCATGGATTACTCGAATCATCTACATGTTACTATTGGTACAACAACATTGTCTGATCCTTTTATATATTATCGACTAATTGGACGACTCATTTACCTTACCACTACATGTCCAGACATTCTTTTGTTGCACAACAACTTAGTCAATTCGTCTCTCAATCTACAACCTCTCACCATCGAGCTGCTTTTTGTGTTTTAAGTTATCTAAAGCAAAGTCCAGGTTTTGATGTTTTTCTTGCTGCTTCCAATGCCACCCAACTCAAGGCTTTCAGCAACTCTGGTTGGGCTGGGTGTCCTGAATCACGACGTTCTATTATCGATTTCTTCATTTACCTTGGTAACTGTCTCATCTCCTGGCGTTCCAAGAAGCAACTAACGGTCTCACACAACTCTTTTGAAGCTGAATACCGCGCTTTAGCATCCACTACCTATGAAATTCAATGGCTGACATATCTATTAAATGTCATTGATGTTCCTTTTATTCGTACAACTTTGATTTATTATGAAAACCAATATGCTTTTCAAATTGCTTCCAACCAAATCTTTCATGAACTTATCAAACATATTGATATAAATTGTCATATTGTTCGAGAAAAGTCATTAATGATTTGACTAAGTTATTATCGGTCTTTTCTTTCTCTCACAAATTGCTGACATACTTACAACTTTTTTTCTCCAACTGTGTTTCATAACATTTGTTTCAAGTTGGACATGACCAATATTCATGTTCAACTTAAGGGGCTTGTGTATATTTCTTTCGTATATATATATATATATATATATATATATATATATATATATATATATATATATATATATATAGTTTTAATATTTATTATTTTTATATATTTCTTTTATCAATTCTAAATTTTTTTATAAATTAAAATTAAATTTAATAGTATTAATAGTATGATGTCTGCAACAAAATCAAATTTTCTTTAATAGAAGTGTACATCCATATTTATTTTATTTGTTTAGTTGTAACCATTTTATGTTATTATGTCCTTTAATTTTATTATTATTATTATTATAAATATATATTATTTCACTCTCTAATATATAATATTTTGTTTTATTCATTACACCTCTCTCTCTATATATATATATATTTTTTTTTTAATTTTGACGTAAAAGATTACATTTGGTATTAAATAGTAATTGCTTGTAACACTTTAAAAAGGTTATATAATTTCAGTTAGTAAATTTAACTAATGAAGATAATATTTTATAATTGTAGCTCAATCCTCTGAATTTATGGCAAGAATTGTACAAATTTTATTAATACATAAATTTAAGCTTAAAACAATATTTATTAAATCTATATATATGGATTCATCTTGCGTCATGTTTCAATAAAAATCTGACTTTTAGTTTTTCACTGTAAAAATCTTACATTTGGAAGACGTTATTTAAACATTTTTAAATATCAATATATATTTAAACTTTAAAAATAATTAAATATATATTTATTTTTTATATAATTAAATATGTATACTCTATTTGTAAAATACAAAATATCTGATAAATAAATATAATTAATTAGAATATCAACAAAATATTTAACAACTATAAAATCCATAATATTAACATCTAGTATGTAGATAAAAAAATATATTTGTATAAACATTAATATATATATATATATATATATATATATATATATATATATATATATATATATACACACACTGTAATTTTGAACCTGTTTTCAGTAATTATGTCATTTTGCATAGGTTTTTTAATAGTAAAAAACGTCTCTAGGTTGTTTAGTAAATTTAATTTTCAATAACAGAACATATGTTGAGAAATATTAACGTTAACTTTCATGTTTTAATTAAAACATTTAGAGGAGGTAAGTTTTTTCTTAATTAAAAAATATTTATAAATGTTTAAAAAACATCTTAAAAACGAACATGAACTATTTAATAAATAACCATCATAAAATCAGTTAAAGTAATGATATTACCGAAATCATATATTTTAAAATTGAATCACTTATTTTGCTTGCCTTTGAAGTTGAAAGACACTTGAAACTAAGTTTGGTGAAATATTCTTTGAAGTGTATGAATTATGACTGTGTGTGTGCTTGAGAGAGCAAAAGAGATTGAAAGTGAGAAAAGAAAAGTATTATAATGAGGTTCCTTCTTTAGGCCATAAAGCTTGTGACTTTAATAAAGAACAATTTTGAAACCAAACCAACCATGTCGCTCCTCAGAGTTAGGTGAGAAAAAGAGTTAGCTCTCATTAATATAAAATTACTCTAATTTTTATGGATAAGAAACTTTCCTTCTCTTAACGCACTTTTTATAGCATCTCTCCTCTTTACTTACCTTTCATAACATAACTTGACACTAATAAACACACATTAAACACATAACATCAAAAATACATTCATACTATAATTTATATTTTCAAATTCTAACATTTATTATTTATTTATGGCTTTAGATATTAAATTGGTCATTTATGAAAGAGGCGAAATTCCCGTGCATTAGGAAATTTCGAAATTGGACCACACCCAACTCAATAGGTTACGTTTTTATCGCTGACACTTGACCGTTGCATTCAAATTTCTTCTTATATACCCCTTCAGACCCCTCCACTTTTCACTATTTCCACTCCTTCCCAGAATGAAAAGTCAACCCAACCAATTTTATCTACCAACTTAATCTCAAAATTATATATTTAGCTAATACTAGAATCAGAATCTTAAATAAATCTTTGAAGTTTTCTAGAGTTTCTTTTAAATTTCTAAAATTAACTCATGTTTTTAAATTTATACTATTGTTTAGGAATTGTCATAAAAGTTAACTTTTCGAAACTTAAATAAAATTTAGGACATTTCAAAAAATTATTAAGATGATAAAAACAGATTAAAAAAATTAAATTAAACCTTTATTCTTACTAAACCTAATTTCACTCTCCCAGTCGTACATTTCCCTCCCAAACCAACGCCTCAGATATCCTCAAAATCAAATTCCAAATCGCACACTGCACAACACTGTTCCTCTGCTTCTTCTTCTTCTTCTTCTTCGAACCGAGTGAGCTTTATTTCTCCACTTCGCGAATCTGAACCATTTCGATTACGCATGTGTAGGTAGAAGCCACGAAATTTCCAGAATGCCGGTTTCAACGCGGTCTCAGATCAACGGCGAAATGGAACCGAACCCCTCGACGGCGACGCGGCTGAGAAACCCGCATCATGGACTGAAGGAGAAGCTCAAAACGCTGACCCTCTTATACGAGCAACAGAAACAAGCCTCCGCGTCTCTCAAGAACGCATCTTTCAGGTTCCCTGAGAAGACCGTCATGCGAGAGAACGCAATGCCCAACACCACCGTAACAAAAACCTTCGTCCTCCCGCAACCCCCCTCAAACGACGACGACGCCAAGGAAAACGCCATCATTGGCGCGGATCGCATTGTCGGGTTTTCGTGCCCCAGAAAAACGACGACCAATAATAATGTTTCGGTTTCGTGTTCTGCCACGGTGGCGCGGAAGCTCTCGATGCAGGAATTGGAGAGGGAGAGAGTGGATGCGGTTTCGGAGAAGCAAGGGAAAGTGGGAAGCAGGATTATGGTTTTCGTGAGGCTGAGACCGATGAACATGAAGGAAAAGGAAGCGGGTTCACGGTGCTGCGTCAGAGTCGTTAATCGCCGTGATGTTTACCTCACGGAGTTTGCCAATGAAAACGATTATCTCAGACTCAATAGGCTTCGTGGACGCCACTTTACCTTCGACGCTGCATTTCCAGATTCAGCTTCTCAGCAAGAAGTTTATTCTACCTCGTGAGTTCCTCACAAGTCACAACAACTCTTGATTTTTGAATTGTTTATGCCTGCTATTTTTAGGCTCATTTTTTATTTTATGACATAGAAACTGAAGTGCATAAGTTTATCTTAGAACTTGTACATTTCTGATTGTAGGTACTTGTAGAAAAGTTCATTGTCATTGTGATGTGTATATAAAACATTGTTCACAAGCACGTGAATTAAGAAGTGTAGGGTTGTTTTAGCTTAATAAATTATCTCGAGTTCGTGTTTAGGGTATGTAGTATTAGATATCTGGAATGGGAAGCAAGGAAAACATTGTTCCTATAGTGGTCCTACTCAGCTAAAAAAGAATTGTCTCATAGAGGATAGCTGCGGTGTATACAAAAACTAAACATTGTTCACAAGGGTGCTTATACAACTTACTTCATACTTTCACTTCAGTGTTAGTGAACGTTGACTTTGTTTTTTTAGGACTTCAGAGCTTGTGGAAGCGGTTTTGCAAGGGAGGAATGGGTCGGTTTTTTGTTATGGTGCAACAGGTGCTGGGAAGACTTACACAATGCTTGGGACGGTGGAGAATCCTGGAGTTATGGTTTTGGCTATTAAGGATCTTTTCAGTAAAATCAGGCAGAGGAGTATTGATGGAAATCATGTGGTTCATTTGTCCTATCTTGAGGTTTATAATGAAACTGTTAGGGATTTGCTTTCACCTGGACGGCCTCTGGTTCTCAGAGAAGATAAACAGGTGCCTTTTCTAAGTTATCCAAGTTGGGTTGTTGATGTGTTTAATTCATGACTTTTGAAAGAATGTAGATGGTTCATTTCATTGCTTGCGTAAATCTGTTTACAGTTTAGTCTCTACTAATGTGATAAGATTTTGAGAGGCTATAACATTGAAAGGTCGTGTTTGCCTTGTGTTTTGTTCCCGTAAGGTTGGGTACTATTCCTTTAGCAGTATGTGGTCTCCAAACTTCTTCTTGCTCTTGGGTACTTCTTGGGTCTAGGTCCGAACCAGCGGGGTACCTGCAATGATATTCCAATATTCAAGTTAGTTCCTAGGAGATATGGAGGGTTTGTGGTTTATTTTATCGGAGTAGACTCATTGTTTTTTCCTCTTGGGGCTCTTACTCTTATTGACTCTTATCAAAGATATCTGCGGGTACATGTTTGAATTCTACATGAAAGATAGATCTGATGATACTTTGCTCAATTCTGTTGTGTAGGGAATTGTGGCAGCAGGTCTTACACAATATAGAGCGTATTCAACGGATGAAGTAATGTTCTTATCTATATTTTTTGGAAGAGCATAACTTTAGACAGCTGTTTCAAGCTAGGATTGAACCTTTGTTTAGCATTATTAACTTTTCTTTTCACCTGTTGCTTCAGGTGATGGCATTGCTTCAACAAGGAAATCAGAACCGAACCACAGAACCAACTCGTGCAAATGAAACATCTTCCCGTTCCCATGCAATTTTGCAGGTAACCCGTCATGGTTTTTGAGGAAAAAGTGATGGATTCATTTATGTTTGGATAAAACATAGGTGCATTACCTTAACTATTTTTATACTATTATTCAATTAAAATTAGAGTTTCACCTTGATAATATATGTACAGTAGTTGTTTGTGATTAAGTTATTTGAAACTCTAATTTTGATTAGAGAATGATACTATATATATGGTTTTGCACTGAATTTGACAAGTTATTCCTACTAACCCAATGCACCTTATTTTGTTATATGTAGGTTGTGGTGGAATACCGAGTTAGTGATGCCTCAATGAACATTATTAACCGAGTGGGTAAGCTCTCATTAATTGATCTAGCAGGGTCTGAGAGAGCTCTCGCTACAGATCAAAGAACACTTAGATCTCTTGAGGGTGCCAATATAAACCGGTCTCTTCTTGCACTAAGCAGCTGTATTAATGCTCTAGTTGAAGGCAAGAAACATATACCGTATAGAAACTCAAAACTCACTCAGCTTCTCAAGGATTCACTAGGAGGAACTTGTAACACTGTCATGATTGCAAACATAAGTCCAAGTAACTTATCATTTGGTGAAACTCAGAATACAGTTCATTGGGCTGATAGAGCCAAGGAGATTCGATTGAAGGTTGACTCCTCACACTCTTTCAAACTAGTGATTCTCCAAGTGTTGTGAGACATAAACCTTACATTTTTGTGATGAAATTGAATAATCTGTTATGTGTGGACACAGGTAATCGATGCAAATGAGGATCAATTGCCAGTGCCTGAGATAGAAACTGACCAGGCCAAGCTGGTACTTGAGCTGCAAAAAGAGAATCGTGAGTTAAGAATGCAACTAGCACAACATCAACAGAAGTTGTTGACTCTCGAAGCACAATCCTTAGCTTCACATTCCTCCCCAACACCACCTTCAGACGAACCTCTTTCCACTCCTCCAACTTCTGCTCAACCAATTGAAAAACGAAGGTGTAGATCCTCTTTCTTGGCTGGAACTTGTTTCACTCCAGAAACCAAGAAGAAAGGGCCGGAACTAGCCATCAAAACACTTCAACGGACCGTGAAAACACTAGAGGCAGAGATTGAGAGAATGAAGAAGGATCATAGCTTGCAGCTAAAGCAGAAAGATGATCTTATTCACGAGCTTTCACAAAATGGTGGCAGACAAACGTTAACAACTGGGGAAGCGGGGAAGGGAGTGGTGTCTAGGGCCAGCCTGCGGCCAAAGGAACCAAACAATAGTGAGATAAAGAGTCCAAGTCAACGTTTTAGATCTCCAGCCCCTACTGCCAAGAAACGAACCTTTTGGGACATAACCACAAATAATAGTCCGTCAGTTACTACATTAAATGGTAGAAAAACTAGAAGTCATGTCCTTGCTGAACCTACTGCTCCTCCTCCATCCATGCTTCTTCAGGTACAGTGATCCTCCGCTCCTTAGTATTTTCTCTTTTCGCATGCATATGTATGCTCTGTCCTATTCTGTATCTTATGCAGATGACTTTGTTAGAAATAATTAGATTAATACTAGGATTTAAGCAACAAGAAATTACAATAAACCTTGGATCTCTTTTGAAGTCCAAGAATGTGATTTGATTGATTACAATAAACCTTGGATCTCTTTTGATTGATTATGTCAAGAATGTGAATTTCTCCTCCTACTCTGTACAAACTTGCTTGTCGAGTAGAGAAGGATCCTGACGTTATGTTGTGACAGTAATCCTAGTTCCATCATGTGTGCTGACTGCTAGATTACTAGTTCCTATATTAAGCACACTTACAAACCTGATTTGAGGTTAATCAACTCATTTAACACAAGTTCACTAATGCATGTTCTTGTTCGTTTCAGCCTGGTTTTGCTCGTCAAAAAGCCAATATTTAAGTTTTTGATGAGGCAGTGGAACGGAAGTTGCCAGAGCACAGTGAAGTACAGTATTATAGATTGAGAGATAGATCATTGCACGTTTGATATGCTTCCTCTCCTTTGTGGCCATCTTTTTTATATGTACTCGAAGGAAGATTGTGTAGTCAGCTGCAGACTCGAGTATCTTTAACATGCTTTTTCATTCACAACCTCCATCTCCCCACACCAACTTCATTATTGCAGGCTATTAAAGCTTGTGGAGAAAACTCCAAAATCTTTTACCATGATATATGTACATTCATTGTTTATCAATCTAAATGCACCTCTATTCTTGTACGAATTTGTCTATGGGCCGGTGATGCTCCATAAATGAATTGTGTTAGGCTTGAACGTTTCCATGTTCTTCTGTCTTGGAGCTTTTTGGTCGACTCTTGTGAAGGTGTGTTGACATGTTACATCGGTAGGATCCATTTGGTTAAAGTATCTTGTAATCAATTGGGTAATCACATCCTTTTCAACCAGTTTTTATTGTTGGATGTGCCAAGATTTGTTCTCAGTTACACATACCATTGAAAAAGTAATAATGAAAAAGAATGTGAAGATGAGAGAACTAGTATGGCAATCCAAAACTCGTGACATGTAATTTTCTGTTTTTAAAACATACTTAAACATCCATACTGATAGCTTGTTTCAGCACCAATGCTTATACATTTATTTGGTTATATATAATATATTTGATACTTTTTGTATAACCTCATACACACAAAATGATTATGATTTTAGGGTCGGGTCCTCTAATTCTAACCACTTATACATGACTAAGACTTAGTATCTAATCATCTTTAAAAATAGTGATGTATGATAAACAAAATGGAAGTTAGATAGAACCATGGCTGATACGTCCTTCAAATCAAGAGCGATTGGGTTGGTGATTGTTAAAGGCAATTGGTTAGGAAAAGACAATATAATAGATAAGTTAGCTTCACATTCATAATCCAAAAACGATGCGTGGGGTCAATTTCTTCTATCAAACATACACTTCATAAATTTTGAATCTTGACATGTGATTTCAATAAAAAAAAAATGACGTGTCTTGAATTTTTTTTTAATATTTTCTTCTCAACTTTGAAGTTTTTATCTTTTATTTAGTCTTATTTAATATGATAGAACATTTATTATGAATAATATAAACATATATTATTCTATTTACTCTTTTATTCCTAAATTTTATTTAAATCTAAAAATATACAAAAACTTACTGACTACCCATTAGTCAACAATACTTCTAGATATAAAGAGATATCCCACAAAAGGAAAACCACTAGTTGAGGATTTAAATTACAATATTTAGAGGATATGACTAAAAAAACAATTATATTTATAACATGATAATCAAGTTTGGAATGTGTACAGGAAGAAATGTTTAAATTTAATATCAAATCCCATTTCAAATCAGATTATCTTGGAAGAAATTTTATTGTGAGAATTAGTTAATAATAATAAATTTTAATTAAAATAGATCAATTTCACTAACATCATTAAATTAATTACCTTCCTAGTGATCACGCTGTACTCATAATCACAGTTATAATGTTGGTATGACTATGTTAAGGATACAACCAAATTAAGTCTTTTTTGACAAGTGATTTAAAGAAAAGTATTTCCTAAACTAAACTGAACGTTGCAAATATATCTTTGAGAAAAAGAGAAAGGGATGAACACAAACATTCACTCATCTTATTCTGCAACACCAACTTATCCACACACAATTTATCCTTGTTCTTCTGATGAAATTTTCTGAGGCTAAACTTCATCCACAGTTGGAATCATGTTGTGAAATATGGTACTATTCAAATAGACCCACATAACAGCATATATATATATATATATATATAACCTGCAGGAAAATACGTGGTACTGCATAGAAGCATTATTTAGGGTTGTTGTTTTCCAAGGTACCATGTAAAAGTACGTGTGACCCTTTTGCTCACTTGATTTACATCAAGGGGTACCTATGATCGCTTAGTTTGTTACTCAAATTCAAACCTGGTAGGAGAAAAGTCTCTCCTGCCTCATCGAAAGAGAGCATACACATCATATCAATCTGAAGTGATTCTTCAATTATAATTAGTCTATTTGACATGCAACCCCACTTTCGTACACCACCACAGATCATACATACTTTCATTCGCCAGGTTCTGTTGTAATAAATTAGTTAGCTATTAAGCTCATAATTGATTCAGAGGTAAGGATATGTAAAAGACCACACAATCTTAACGTATTCTTCTGATTTCCAGCACTGTTTCTTTTCAATGTGGTGGGTTGAGGGAGGTTTTGGTGCACTAATTAGAGCAATAATGATGTAAATCAGTGGTTCAACTTAATGTGAAGCCACTAGCTTTGATATCTTTAGAAGCATGATGACTAGATGATTAAAAAAACCAAAGGAGCTTTGGTTTCGGTGAAAGAGAATTTTATTTTGTCCTAGCTGTAAGCCACATATGTTCTTCGTCTTCAATCTTTTCTCTCGTAAGTTGCAGGGAAATAGTAGGAATTTTCGAAAGCCTGAAAACTAGGAAGGGAAAGGTAAAAGGAATGATCACTATTATCTGCAAACTGTCCAATAAAGGATTTTCTTCTGGGGGTTAAATAAAGGGGTAGTATATCATTGAAGGTTGGGTCTAACAAAAGAATTACTCTCTTATAACGAATAAAGATTCAAATTTTCACTGAAAAGTGTCTATATTTAGTGCTGAACTTATCTCAAATAAGATTGCCATTCAAAAATAATACACGTGAGAACAAAAAAAGAAACATAAAGGGTAGTGGTCTTAAATGTTGACAGTAGTGGGCTATAGTCTACAGCTATTGACTAAAGCTGCACAAATTACTATGAAAACAACCTGGTGAGTATGTTTCAGATTTGAATTAGGCCAACAAAAGAAAAGCAGTCAACAAGAGGATGGCAATTGATGGAGTGTATAAACAAAGGAAAAGTGAGGAAAAGATGGGGTCTGCCGTCAGATGGTTAGAATCTGAATATATATTTTCTTTTTTCTTTTCTTATTTTGCTTTTGATGACTTCTATGATTAGGCCTAGACATTAACAAAAATTCTTAGGATCACTTCGCAGACAAAATTGTGCACAAAAAGTAATTATTGGAACAATATTAACTTTTTAGACCAAATACTGAAATAGTGTTGGGTTAAAAGAACATGCTGATAAAGAATCCAAACTAAACAGGGGAGAAAGGGCATAAGGAAACAAATGCTAAGGAACTCAAACCAAAAAATAACGAAGTTATCATCCAAGAAGGAGAGGGAATTGTCATAAACAATCTTCCTCTACCCGTAAGCAAACCAAGTATCATTTACAGAATTTGAAAGCGTAGAACTGACATAATGGTTTCTAGTAAAATGTAAAACCATCTACAGTAGTATTGGCAAGTGAAATTTAATTTTATAAGTCCAGGCAACCCTTCAACCATGGGGACTGAGTTAATCATCATGCAAATAAGCACACAAGTAAACAAAAATGAGAAAAGAGAGCGTGGGGAAGCACAGTACAAAAAAGGCAAGTCATCAAGTGGAATAAAATAAAACAACGCTGCACTACGAAGTTGCAAAAGCTAATAAACCAAATCAAAATGGGAAGACAATGATGATTTGCATTAACCTCCGCCTCATATCACTAATTAAAGGATTGGAAAGGAAACTATACATATACACCTTTCATGACCCACCCCACCATCACCCTGTAAAGTATTGGTTACCCACAATTAATTTCCCCCTTTCTGCCTTTACCCTACCTCCTATCCTAACAAAAAAAAAGGAAAAAGAAAAAAGAGAGAAACCCCACTTCTTCTTCCTCCAGGGAGAAGAGGGGGAAAAAGAGAAAAAAAAAAAAACAGAGAGAACTAAGTGACCATTTTCATGATTGAGGAGCTAAACAAGTAGCATAGGAATATCCTAATGTTTAAGATCCAGAAAGAAGAAACTAAAAAGGAAAAGAAAGTTAAGTATGATAATTGAAGGGCTGGTAGTAGTAACTAGTAACTAGACTCTAAGCAGATAAATACTGAGCTCAGACGCTCCATTGCTGTCAGGATTCATCATGTAGAAAGCCTCAGAGTCTCTGGAACCAACAATTCTCTCAAACCTAGCCCTCATATACATCACTTCCCCGTCACCTCCATCACTGTTATTACTCACTGGCAGAACACCGGCACCCATTGAAATCGGCTCCACGGCCTTCAGGATTTCCCAGTCTTTGGCACCGCATTCTCTTCTGGTGGCAAAGCCACACTTTTTGCCGTTGCAGTAGGTCCTCCACACGGACTCCTGAAGCAGCCTCGTGCTCTTCTTCTCTGACTTTTTGTCCTTGTCGCATTCCAGCGCGATTCGGACCAGCCCAGAAGCCATTTCACGAACCAAACCGGTTATGGGTGTTGCAAGCTCGATGAGGAAAGCGGGTTGGGATGTGGGGTCCTTCTGGAAGGCGAAGTGGACGTGGTCGCGACGGTAGCCGAAGAGGGTGCCGACAACTCGAGAACCGAGGCCGAAGGGGAGGTTGGAGCGGTTCTTGCCGAACACGGTGAGGACGGAGCGGAGCCTTGAGATTGCCACGAGCTGAAGCTTTCTCCTTTGGGAAGTGGCTGCAGAGCCTGGGAGTGGAACACCCTTGCCATCTTCTTGTTCTTCTTTTTCCTTTGTTTTTGTGTCTTCTTCTATGATTTTGGACATTGTTTTAGAGGTGGGGGAGACTTGGTCGTCTTCATTTCCAACTTTGTTGTTCCAGTGGAAATGCCTCTTGGAGGATGAGTCTTGAGGTTGAGGGGTTGAGGTTGTATCCATGACTAGCGTCTTCTTTGAGAAAGGAAGAACAGGCTTTAAAGAAGGTCTGGTGGTAAAGAGAGAGAGACGGACAGAGTGAATCTGGTTTCTTTTTTTACTGTTGGGGATAGATATGTTGGGCTTTTAGGTTTTATTAAATTGTTTCTTTGTTATTCTAGCCATCTCCCCCTTTCATATAGTGAGTGCAAGAGAATCCTGACAAAAGAAACATAACCAGTCCCACCAGCTGATGTAGGAAATCAGAGAGAGACTGGGATAGAGTGCGCTTCAAATAGAAAAGAAAGGAATCTAAGGAGACAATGTGTTTGTTATTTCACTTTCTTGTGGGGTAGGGAGGGAGTGAGTGAGAGAGAGAAAGAGGCTTGCGCGTTATGCCACTGTGTTCGACTAAACTCTTTTGACTTGATCCCCAAAACGGTAAAAAAGGATTTAAAAACTAAAGCAAGAACAAACAAAACACAAAGCCATCACTGTTGAAACTCGACATGCACATAGCACACTCTTCTGCACCATCCATGTCTTCTAGTGCAAAGGCGCACCATGGTGACATCAGGTTAACCATTACTGAATTCTCGTGGCTCATGTTGGCTACAGAGACTACATTACACGTATCAGAGAACTGACACCTCGTTGTAGGTTAGTCCCCTAAAAACTCAATCCTATCGTGTTATTATGAAAATTGACATTTAAGGTTTAGCTCTACATAATTATACTTAGGTTGCTAGGTCTAGAGTTCATAAGCCGGTTAATCAAACGAGAATTTCATGGGATATCCGTAAAGAAAAAGAATGACAGGGAGACTGATAATCGTATAAATAGCAACCGGGCGAGATTGAAATGACATGACTCCGTTTACGGCAGTATTTCGAGCTTGCAAGACTTTTTACACTAATCAAGGCAGCAAAAAAAAACAAAACAAAACATCATTGCTTCTCATGTTTGATATTTTGTTACAATCTAATATAATATGTATTGTCAGAATCGATCTAAGTGTTGTTAGTAAGTAGAAGATACAAAAGGTAAATCAAGTAATTACATGTAATGCTAAATGGGAGGGTTTCATGATCTTTTACTAATTACAATGACGTGCAAAATAGTGACTTGTTTTTGTACACAATCGACCTCATTGGAAGCAGACACGCGTCAGGGGTGCTTGCCTATGCTTCGGTAAAGATCCTAAAGTCAGCTATCTAAACTCTGGTCAGTATCTAGCTGCTTGGAAGATTGGGTTCCACCATGCATCCTAGCACGTGCCTCTGCAAACATCCTTTGCTGCTCTGCTAATGCTTCTTCCTCAGTCATCTCAGCTCCATTGCTCCATTTACCAACCTTTATAGAGTCCTGCTGGAAGACATAGAAAACAATCAGAAAACAGTTAAATATCAATAAAAAAAAAACAGTTAATTCAGATACAACAGCAATTAACTTGTTCAAAACTCAATTTCCATGTTAACTGATCAACAATACTAAACCCTAAAACTACTAAAGTCCATACATAATTTTGATTTGAACAACCAACCATGGCACGGGCCATGCTCTCAGCATGATGCTGAAAACACCAAGTGAGAAGGGATGGTAAGTCAGAATACCAGCCCATTCAGATCTTTGCAGCAAATCCACCTACATACATTTCCACCAGTCTCTCTACCAGGGAAGATACATTAGATGGAGCCATTATTGGTTTGGGGGCTTCTTTAGAGAAGAACCATCAACAGCCCTGCAGGTGCTCCCTCAAGACAGTCCACCTTTCATCTAACCTCAGTTGGAAAACATTCAGCTTCCACTAAGATTGTTTGAGATGTTCAAATAAACAGATAAACATAGTTCATATCTGAGGGAGCATTCCACGTAAGGTGTTGAGAAGGGACTAAAGAAAGTGAATAATATGCTAAGTTGTATTGTATTACTCAAGTATTCATATTCAAATAGGGTATTAATATTAATAATTACCATGATCTCTAGCTTGTGCTGTTCATATGCTGCTTGAACTTCTTCAATGTACTCACCGAATCCAAGAACCTGGGGGGAAAGAAGCAATCAAACAAAATCAGAAACAGGTACGCAGCATGTTTTAAAACAGGTACTCTTTTCAATGAAAAGATGAACAATTACTTTGGCTTCAGCTTAAGATAAGAATAATTCTAAATCTTGTTTCAACATCATCCTACTTACAAGATGAAGAAAGTACTTCTTTTTATGTTTCTAAGATAATAAATGCACTTACTTTTCTATTTAACTCGTTTTTTACAAAGTATTAGAAGGATGTATCAATATTATTCACAAGGTAATATCCTATGTATATGTGCACAAATTTTATTGTCAGGTTAGTGGAGTGGAGATGATAGAGAATAGCTATGCTAGCTGTTGTAAACACTTAGTACTGTAGGTGGCTTGTCAGCATTTGTTGCAAACAACTAACTGTAGTTATGCTGAGCAGTCAGTTGTATTTGTAGTCTAGGTAGCAAAGTTGTACCTAACTAACTGAAGGCAGTTATGCTGAGCTCAGTTAGTTAGATCTAAAGTCTAGTCAGCAAAGCTTGGCAAGTGATTATTCTGTATAAATACTAACATATGTACCTCAAACAAGAAACGCAATAAATCAATTTCAGTTTGTACAAATTCTCTTTTCTTCAGGAGACAACATTTAGTGAGATCAAATAATAAATTTGTAAGTGAGATCATGTGTTAGCAATTTGTTCTCAGTCTCATCATAGATAAGAATGAAATAATTTCACTATTACGACAATTTTTACCATGAAGACATAAAACCTGGCACAACAATTTCCATAAAGAGAGGAAAGAAAAAATTGTTAATACTAAATCACTAATTTCAAATCCTTTCAACTCAGCTTCATTAAACAGCACTATTAAGAAACCTTTGCCAAATAAAATCTTCAGGCCTAACATAATACAACCCATGATAATGCATGGTGTGACATGAAAACTCAAATATAAAGTGGAAAATATCCCCATCCAAAGCTTTAGAGATGCAAAGGATAGACAAATACCTGTAGAGCCTTCAATACATGCTCAGGTGCAATTGTCCGTTTATCCTCTTTGTTACAGACTTCATTGGATTCTGACGAGATGAGGTTTATAAACTCTATTATGACAAACCAACCACTAGCATCTTCATTCTTAAGAAAAGTCAACTAAGAATAAGAAGCATGAAACACTAAAGAGAATCTAACCTAAATTTACAGACAATATAAGCAATACACATGATCGGCATGTTCATGATAAAGATATACAAGCAAAACATGTTACTATAACATGATTGTATATGAAAAATCAAACAGCAAGTTCATAAGAGCTTATTACCAGCAATATATTACACTATAGATTCTAGTAATTCACAACTCATACAGTGAGATAGGGTTAGGTAACAGCAACCATAGACGAAATCAAGAAAGACCTATGCGTGATATACTGCAACAAAATGAAGAACAGAGAACAGTGAGAGTGAATTGAATAGAAACAACAGAACAGAACTTCAAAAATAGTGCCAAAGAATAGGGCAATGCCAGAAACATCAGAAATGGCCACAGATGGTGTCAAAGAATAATGGTCCATGTTTCAGAGACACAAGGTACATGATTGTTTTAGAATAGGGTTTCAAATTTTAAACCCCAAATAAGGGAAGCAAAATAAATTTAAAAACTCCAAAAATAATTTTTTTTGGCAGGGGGGGGGGGGGTGTAAATAAGGTTTTCAACCGTTAAATATTAAACACTAATGCAATGCCACAAACAAATAAATGCGGCTGCAATAGAGGGCCCCATAGCTGCAGCACAATGGTATAGCGCATTATCATAGAGTGTAAATTCTGACCTACACAACACTCGATCAATAGATCCTGGGCATCTCTTGCAACACGTACATCTGGGGGTAACATCTCTTTAATAATTTTTGTCATTGTTGCTGCCAAAAAATCAGAGCTTCTGTAAGCAATAGACAATGATGCATTGCCATCAACGAGAAAACAAAGATTGACTACCGAGTACCATAAAAATTAAAACAACCAAAAATAATTCATTATTAATTATCAATAACAACTATTCAAAAAACACTACCCATCAGCATCTTACCTTCTAATAAATATAGACTGTTTGGTATGACCAACCACTTACGTCATAAAAATTAATAAAAACAAAGAAAAAGCATGTAAGAAATATTAGTTATGATAGCAAAAACAAAATCCGTAAGTGAATAGCCAAATAATACAAACATCATGAAACCATCATATGCTTGCTTCATATCAAATCAGTGCCTTAGAGAAAACTGTATGAAGGCGATTTTTTATAATCAGAAATGATAGACAGTACAAAATATCTTATTCGGATTGAGTCAATATTTTATTTGAAGTTAACTTTTCTTCCAATCCAATCATCTATCGTCATGCAACATCAAAATAATGAAATACCTAATTAGTCGCTCTTTGAAACCCTACACACTGAAGATATCACTTTATTAAATTTTACACCACATTAAACTTTTATCATTCCACAAAATGAAGTTTTAAAATCATTAATTAAATCGGGATCGCCAGCAAGTATGATATTCTATGTTGATTTGCCAATGTATTCTCATCAGTCACAAACACAACTTTTGAAATTATTATGATCTCACTAGGAGTGCAGTTTAAACACAGTTTTATATAGTGAATTAGGTTGCTGAAAACTCATACTCGGCATTTTCAATTGCGAAGGAAAAACAATGCATCACGAGATATTAGCCCTAGATGTCACAAAAACCTAGAAGTAATGGAAACAATTTATCTTTTTTTTTTTTTGCAGTCTCCAGAATTCACCTGTGCAAATAACGACAGATTCCAAAGAACTCGATACGATTATAATAACTATATTATCAAATTCACGATAGAGGAAAGCGAGAGTGGAAACCTTTAGGAAGCGAAGCATCTTCTTTTGACTTGCCGACGATGTCCATGGGTTCCATGATTCTACAATTCAACGAAACGAAGAATTAGGGCACAGATAAATAGACGAATAGGGAGAAAAAAAGCTACATATATAAAAGAGAAGAGGAACATGAAAGGTCACCTATTACCACGTAGGGAGAATCCGAGAAGGCGCGATTGAAGAACGCAGTTGCGGAAGGAAGAGGAGGTGCAAGATCGAGGACATGGCTGAGGCTGATATGTGAATTTAAGATGACAGTTTCACATGCTAAGTGAACAAGTTATCGCTAGGGATGGCAAACTCCGCCCCGTTTTACGGGCTGTAAACCTTGGCCCGCCCCACGAAGGGCGGGTTGACGGACTGGCGGATCTGATCCGCTATAATTTAGAAAAAATATTTTTTTTAAATAATTTTTTTAATAAAAATATTTTTTTTAAATAATTTTTTTAATAAATTTAATAATAAGATTATTATTTATTTGTAAATAATTCAATATATATATATTATTTTAATTTAATAATATAAATCAATACATTATTTTAAAAAATTATAATTTAGAATAATAATAAAATTTACATAATAATAAATAATAACAAATATATATATATATAAATAACGTTAAACTTATAAAATTTATATTTTTTATATTGTAAAATTCAAATACCTATATCTTTTTTATTTGATAAAACTTCATATTATTCTTGGTTGAAGTAATTCTTATATCTTTAATTCAAGTAATAAGGATAAATATAATCAGTGTTTAGGATAAATAAGGAGAACATGAGAGAAGGTTATATTTCGGGAAGGAGAATATTTTCGTCAGTAATGAAACTTTTTTAATTCTCTTTTTAAAATTTTTAAATTTATATATTATCTTTATAATTAATTTTATTACAATAAAAAATTATTTTTTTATTAATTAGGCGGGCCGCGGCTGGCCCGCCCAGTCCCGCGGTTGGTCCGACGGATTGGCAGGCTTGGCGGGCGAGCCAAAGCGGCTGGTGGCTGAAAATATCAACCCGCCCGCCATATTATGGCGGGTTGGCGGGCCGACCGCCGGCCTAGCCCGTTTTGCCATCCCTAGTTATCGCTCGCATCCGATTAATCCAACCCACCAACCGCCCCAAGCGCGTTTTCCGGATACTTCACCACGCGCGTCGGGCTTGTCATTTCCTCTTTTTTTTTTTTTTTTTCATTTTACAAAATCATCAATTGTTTCTAGAATTATTATAAAGTCACTTTTCTCATCGTTTAGCTTGGGTTCAAGTGGAGACTTCTTTTTCATAAATAATACAATTTTTTAAAATATTTTATAAAGTAGTACCTCTAAAACATTATTTATACAATTATCACTCTTTATTATTCACATATTAAAATAATCGATTATTTTAGATTATGATTGATTATTTTGCGTAAGATTAAGATTAACTCTCGCTCAAATGAAGAAACCATTCGCTTGAACAAGGAGACATGTAACAAATAGGTAATCTCGGGTCAATTCTCGCTCAAGCGACGAGTACTTTCGCTTGAGCGAGAAGTGATTGAAATATGTGGTGACCCAAGTTGTGTTATGTGGCTAACTGCGTTGGACGTTTAGCTTGTGGTCAATTTTCGTTCAAGCGATGGGTTACTTCGCTCGAGCGAGAATTGATTGGGTAACTGCGTTGGACCGTGGTCAATTCTCGCTCAAGCGAGATATCCATCGCTTGAGCGAAGAAATATATAATCGATTATAATTTGAGCTAATCGATCATAATTTTTAAATAATCGAATATACACAATTATGATCAATTATTTCTTTCTCGCTCAAGCGAAGAAACTTTTCGCTTGAGCGAGGAGACCTATAACAAATGGGTAATCTTAGGTCAATTCTCGCTCAAGCGACGGGTACTTTCGCTTGAGCGAGAAGTGATTGAAATATGTGGTGACTAAGTTGCATTATGTGGCTAACTGCGTTGGATGTTTAGCATGTGGTCAATTCTCGCTCAAGCGATGGGTTACTTCGCTCAAGCGAGAATTGATTGGGTAATTGCGTTGGACCGTGGTCAATTCTCGCTCAAGCGAGACATCCATCACTTGAGCGAAGAATTTTATAATCGATTATAATTTGAGCTAATCGATCATAATTTTAAAATAATCGAATATACAAAATTATGATCGATTATTTCTCTCTCGCTCAAGCGAAGAAATCCTTCGCTTGAGCGAGGAAACCTGTAACAAATGGGTAATCTCAGGTCAATTCTCGCTCAAGCGACGGGTACTTTCGCTTGAGTGAGAAGTTATTGAAATATGTGGTTGCCCAAGTTGCACTATGTGGTTAACTGCGTTAGACGTTTAGCCTGTGGTCAATTCTCGCTCAAGCGAGAAACCCATCGCTTGAGCGAGGAAACCTGCAACTATTTACAATGCTAAGTCACCCACCCAAGTCAGGATTCCCATGCCTTTCTGATGCACACAAGTAAGAAATCCAATGTTGAGTCACCCACCCAAGTTAGGATTCCAATATTGGATTCCCTGCATTGGGTTAGACAAAAACAGAAGAATCCAAGCACATTTAAAGAGATGTTGACCCACCCACTTTGCTTGGGTTTTGTGTGCGTCAGAAACCATGTGAGGGAGCATTGGATTCAAACCATTGGACTTCATTATAAATAAACCACTTTCATTCTTTGAAGTTCTCACATTGCATACTCCTAAATCTCTGAAGCTCTTTGCATTGTTTCTTCTTCTTACCTTTAGTTTTATTTTTGTTCTACACTCCTAAAATGAATGTAGTGTCTACTATTGTCCATTATGATGGTTTCATAAACCCATGTCCCATGGAGGGAGTTACCTTCAATACTGGGACTGCAAAACATGTTCCTTTAAATAGAGAAATTTCTCTACAAAGGTTGAAGAAGTTGATCCACAGGAAATTGGAGAAAGAACCCTACGAAAATGTAGCAACCATCCATTTTTGCTGTCCAACTAGACTCGGAGTTGGGATCAACAACTTCATTACTGTTGAGTTGAAAGATGATGACAACGTGGAGGTCATGTTCGATGTTCATGATTCAAACTCAAGTCTATGTGGTATTGAAAGTTTTGTTTCATTTAAAACTTCTTCTTCTTCATACCCCAACACACACTCACCTGAAATCTCACCTTCACCCTACCAAGCTTTCCCAAACACTGACCCAGAAATACCCACAGATAATGATTATATCTCTTTTACCCAACTTCTAAGTGGGCCTTCCACCAACATCAACGAAGAACTACCCACACAAGAGAACGAAATTGTTGGCCTCCCAATTGAAGTCGCTGATCCTTTTAGTGAGGACGAAGATGAAGATGAAATCCTCAGCCAACAGCAAGATGATTCAGAGGACGAACAAGCACATATCCCTACACATGCACCAAACTTCATGGAACCATACAACCCACCACAACATTTTCTTAACTTCGAAAGTCACATTCAACAACAAGACCTAGAGTATGGCCATGAGTTGGACAAAGACTCTTTTGTTTCTCCGACAAGAACTCTATTTCTTGGACAACGTTGCATAACAAAAAAACAAGTTCAAGATGTCATTAATCGCTTTCACATTGTCAATCACTGCACATACAAGGTGAAAATTTCAAACCAAAGTAGATATGTTGTTGAATGTGTTGATAATCAATGCAATTGGAGATGTCGAACAATATTGCGCACAAGAGAGCAATATTGGGAGATTATGAAGCTTGAAACACACCATACATGCGTTTCGCCATTAATCAGCCAAGATCACAACAAGTTGGGATATAAAATGATTTCAAAAACAATTAGTCAAATATTTGATGCTGATTCGTCAACACCAATCTCTACAATCATAACCCACATCCAATTAATAACGGGTTACACTATCACGTACACACTATCACGTACATGAAGGTCTGGTTGGCCAAACAAAAGGCAGTGGAGACCATCTACGGCAATTGGGAGGATTCATATAAGAAGTTGTCTTGTTTATTACAAGTCATGCAACAATTTGTTCCCGGATTCATCTACAAACTGCAGTCACAACCAGCTTACCAAGGTGAGGTCCTTCAACAAAATTCAAATATTTTTAAGCGTGTGTTTTGAACGTTGAGGTCATGCATAGATGAATTTGTTCACTACAAGCCCATTATTCAAGTGGACAGAACTTTTTGGTACAGAAAATATAGAGGTACCTTGTTAGTTGCAGTAGCACAAGATGACCGCAACAACATCCTCCCCATTGCGTTTGCGGTGGTTGAAGGTAAAACAAGTGATGCCTGTTTTTATTTTCTTAAAAAACCTCCAAAGATATGTCACACTTCAGCAAGAATTATGCCTCATATCAGATCGACATGAATCCATTAGAAGTGCATACATGATAAATGGAAGCGGATAGACAGAAAATAATTCAGTGCATGTCTACTGCATTAGACACATTGCACATAATTTTATGAGACGTTTCAAAAACACCGCACTAAGGAAAGATGTTGTAAATATGAGTAATTTCTTTGCTTCAAATTTGTTACAATTTATTCATTATTTAACTATTGCTAATAAATATTTATATTAACTATGTTTTTTTAATATTGTTGTAGCATATGGGATGACTAAACCACGATTATACTATTATTACAACATCATAAGGCAATGTGACATAAATGCAGCTAATTGGTTAGATGAGATACCTAGAGAAAAATTGGCACTTGCATGGGACAATGGACGACGTTGGGGCCACATGACAACCAACATAGCAGAGTCTATCAACTCTGTTTTGAAAAAAATAAGAAATCTACTTATTTGCTCCATGGTCAACGCAATGTACACCCGCTGCAACAAAATTTTTATTGAAAGAGGGAGACAGATAAATGCTATGATCAATGTTGGTCATGTATACTCTGAAATTTTGGTCACAAATTTAGAGGAAGCACAAACACAAGCAAACACGCATAGGGTCATAACTTTTGACAGATCTACCACAAAATTTGTAATAGAAGAAACACAAAACCCACATGAAGTTTGACCAACAGGGAAATTTGCAGTTCGCCTTGATGAGTTGTGGTGTTACTGTGGGAAATTCCAGAAATTTCACATGCCTTGTTCACATGTTCTTGCTGCATGCAAGTATGCACACCATGACTTCAACAACTATATTCATCCAGTGTATACCTTACAACAAATTTCAAAGGTATATGAAACACAATTTGGGTTGTTGCGAAATGAAGAATATTTGCCAATATACATAGGACCTACTTTGTGTGCAGATCCAGAAATGAAAAGAACTTCAAAGGGCCGACCAAAATCAAGTCGTATAAGAACTGAAATGGATATTACAAAAAATCAAAGTAGGATTAAAAAATGTTCATATTGTCAAACCCCTGGTCATAGCAGAAGAACATGCCCCAATGTTGCACATGCATCTACTTCGCATCATTAGATTGTGTTAGTTAAGAAATACCCCAATGTATGAAACTTAGGAGTTTTTCAATTAATAAAACTTCTTCTTTGCAGAGTAAGGATTACCTACAATGTAGTAACTCATGAACTCATCTGTTCTTACAATAAGGATAACTATATTGGCAAAAAATCATAATAGGAATACTAGTTTGTTGCATGAATTGTTAATATCCTTCACTTTAGTCCTTTTGTTGTTCAATCTTGTTCATGGTTGAATCGAAGATATGCTAACAAGTTACAATTTGCAGTCCAGGGAGTGTATAACTTAAAATTATCAAGGACAAATTTTTGAATACGAAAATAATTAGATAAGCCTTTGCAGGTTTTATGAAACAATTATTTCAATCAACTATCGTTTGAGTGGAAAAACATCCGAGATTACCCATTAGTTGCAGGTTTCCTCGCTCAAGCGATGAAATTCTCGCTTGAGCGGGAATTGACCACGGTCCAACGCAGTTACCCAATCAATTCTCGCTCGAGCGAAGTAACCCATCGCTTGAGCGAGAATTGACCACAGGTTAAACGTCTAACGCAGTTAGCCACATAACACAACTTGGGTCACCACATATTTCAATCACTTCTCGCTCAAGCAAAAGTACCCGTCGTTTGAGCGAGAATTGACCCGAGATTACCCCATTTGTTACATGTAAGGTTTCTTCGCTTGAGCGAGAGTTGATCTTACGTGAAATAATCGATCATAATATAAAATAATCGATTATTTTAATACGTGAATAGTAAAAAGTGATAGTTGTGTAAATAATATTCCAGGATGTCGCTATTTTAGGAAATATTTTTAAAAATAGTATTATTTATGAAAAAAAGTCTCAAGTGGAGCCCTATCTATTTATCTCATTTATTTTTAACAACTAAATTTTTTTATTATGTTTAAAATTTTGGTTTAAAAAGTTTTAGATATTATTTTTTTATGTTAATAATATCTTAGATTCTTAGTAAAATATATATTTACATGTGTGTTCACGTATGCAGTATTGAAAATAACAAGTCAACTAGTTAATTCAAAAGTAATATTCGTTTTTTATTAAATTTAAATATTTACTTGATATAAAAAAACATTAAAAAATATTAAGAAATACTAATTTTAAGCTAGTTCCATTTTGACATAATAACAAACCTTTTTAATCATTTAAATTTAAATTAAAAATTAAATTTTATTGGTTAAAAATTGTTATAAATTATATATTTTTTTAATGTAAGACTATGGTATGCACTAATATCATCTACAGAGAGGAACAAAAATATGAAAAATTTGAATTTAAATAACTAACACGATAAAAATTAAACTTAGAAGAGAAAATAAAACTGAGATAAACAAAATTATATATATATATATATATATATATATATATAATTGTTAAATATAAATTTATATGACAAAAATAAAAATCAGAGAAACTAGAAAAAAAAATCAATAAACATATTTAACCCTTAAATATAAAACCAACACGAACCAGAAGCTAAATTGCTTTAGGTATAATAATGGCAAGAATTTCTGTCTCCACCCGAAGACGCGCCAGCCATGGTTACTCTCGCTCTTAATGCCAATTGATTATGCACACCCAAGACAAGCTTCTGAAAAACCCTAACTTATTTTTCGCCATTCAATATGAATAAATACGACTGAAATTTGATTGAGCAATCAACGTTCAGATTTCACGATTCATTGGGACAAATGGAGTCTGACGAAGAGGATTTTGTTTTCTATGGAACGCCGATAGAGCGTGAGGACGATTTACTCAGTCGCAAGAAGAAGGCCATTGCCGAGTCCTCGGGTCAACTACGAACGCTTCCCGCTTGGAAGCAAGAGGTAAGCATTTGCTCTATCCACCGAAATCCTGTTATGTCGGCATGAATTGATTGGGCGTTGACACTATTTCCAGAAATTGCGAATGCACATGGTAAAAGACTAGGGGATTTGGTTTTTACTGTGAAATTCAAAATTGAAGTTGATTGTGATATTGTATCAACGATCGGATTGAATTGTCTGAATTCTGCCGCTAGATTCATGGAGGAGTTCAATATTGTTTCTGACAGCTATGTCCCTAGAGATATTCGGTTGAGGACTAGAAAAGACTTACTTATTTTAAACGTTCAAATGTTCCTTGATTACTGCTATTGTCTTTTTTTCTGTGCTCTGCGGTAGTTATTTCGTGAGGTTGTTTTGGCTGTATAGTGAGTGCATTCATATTCTGAAGTTACATTTCAACTTTTTTTGTCTGTGCTTGAACCCTATTCAAGGAAATGCAGTTGTTTGCTTCTGTAGATGTGAAATGGTGAGGATATATGTGATTTATATTTAAAGTTACTTTGTTTTAATATTTAAATTCATTTCCAATGACCCTTTATAAAAAATTTGGCAAGGCGTAATTGATGCTGTCTGTATCCTAATTTCATTACAATTTTGGTTTCACCATGTCCAGGTTAGAGATGAGGAAGGGCGGAGAAGATTTCATGGAGCATTTACAGGAGGCTATTCTGCTGGTTACTATAATACAGTGGGCTCAAAGGAAGGTATAATTTCATTAGGAAATCATAACGATCTTATTATTGCATTCAATTTTTAGAGGTGGCAATGTGTGCTGACTTTATTAATTTTCAGGGTGGGCACCCCAGTCATTTAAGTCATCCAGGAAGAACAGAGCTGAATTCAAAGAGCAGAATATACTGAATTTTCTAGATGAAGACGAGAAATCTGTATGTTGAATAATACATGCCAGTATATGATTTTGTGTTATGTACAATTTTCAAGCTATTTAAATGTATGTGTTTCAAAGTCCTCCGATTCAATTCACTTCTAAGGCAGTATAGATGTAGATATTGGAGGTGTGATACCAACCAGATCCAGCCTTTTATTCTAGAACCATTTCATGTCATATATTTGTGTAAATATTGATCAGTTGTCCTTTTTTAAACTTAATATATATTATTTATTTAATCATAATTTTATGGTGCCTTTTACATGGTTCTGCATTATATGTCGTTTTGAGTATCTTTTGATGTGAAACTTTATTAATATTAAAGTAGCATATATAGATACATCCATATATCACTCTGAGATTTTGAACATTACAAGCACCCACTTAAAATGGTAATATTCTAAAATTGAGGAAATTTTGTTCTATTAGAATTTAAGCAAGGAAGTTTTCCTTAATTTCAGTTGAAATGGAGCATAGTGGGTGACATTTTTTATATTTCAAAATCTTAAGTGAGGGCTATGTATTTATAATTAAATTAAATTAAATATTATGATGCTTTTGGTATAGAGATATACTCTTGTTTGCTTGTCTGAAGGAACTAAAATTATGTTGTAGAAAATGGTGATACTATCCTTAACCAAATTACCACATTTCTACGATGTGGATGGTATCATGTAGGTTGGTTACTTAATTGGTGGCCGGGGTTCAGGTTTTTAGTAGATTAATTTTTTTATGTGTTCTAACATACCCTTTCCATGTATCATAGGAATTGGAAGGTCGTTTTTTAGGGACTACTTCACAGTTTGATACATTTGGCTTCACAGCCGCTGAAATTGCCCGCAAACAAGTTGAGAAAGAACAGAAACAGAGGTGCATTTTATTTCTCTAGTTATTATGGTCATATGATGTACGTATATCACATAACTTCTACAGGGAGATGAAAACATTATTTTTCATCTATTTGTGATGTTTTTTCTTTAAGTTCCTTATCCACAGTAATATCGTATGAAACAATAGTGGATTTTAAAATGCTTTTGCTTCTCTGTAGCTTTAGTGTTTAATTATAATATTAGGTTTTACAGGAAAACCAGCACCATCCCTCCCTTTTTATTTTTTGACAGTGATTCTCATGTAATACAATTTTTGTGATAAATGAAGAACTGTTCAATATCTTTTGATGCTTAACCCATGGTAAATTTTTATGGGGAAATCCTTCTATAAATATTCAAGGGATTGGAGAACTTTGCTGCATTATTCAACTTGGGTGTGAGTTTAATCCCTCTTTTGTTAAAGGTTATTCTCTTTATTATTATCATCTTTAGCGAACAACCATCACCAAACCTTTTTTCACTTGGTGGAGGCAGCTACTTGGATTCAATGAAACCATAAAGTTCTCATATAATTCATGCTTGTAGACAATCTATGGACATTTTATTTTTTATTTCATTTTGTCACATATGAGGGCAAACCTTGGTGCAACAGTAAGATTGCTACCTTAGGAGCTGGATGTCATGGGTTTAAATACTAGGAATAGCTTCTTTGCTTGCAGGACTAAGGCTATGTGCCTTATCCTTGTGAGCCTTGTGCACTTGGCTGCCCTCTTTCATCTAAAGTGATGAGGAGGAATAGAAGATATAGCATGCTAGTTATCTGTGTATATCATTTTTGGTTTTTTATTCAAATGGTTATTTAGCTTACCTATATTTTTTCATGGTTCTGGAAGTATTAAACAAATGTTTTTGGGCTTGTTTGTTTACTGTTACTAAAAATAGTTTTCAATTTTTAGTTTTTAAAAACTAAAAAACGAAATTTGATAAAAAAAAAAAGGGTTTTCTTTTACCTTTTGGGTAATTTTCAATCGTATCAATGTGAGTTACAGCATTATCTCCTGAAAACAAAATGCAGCTTTATAGCTTTTTCATCATTCTCCATAGTTTGCCCTTTTTCTATTTTCCCTTTTGTATTTTATCTTTCTGATGACACTTCCATGGTTGTTTGTGTTTTTCTTTTTCATTGTAGGCCATCCATAATTCCTGGACCTGCTCCTGATGAAATAGTTGTTCCTGTCACTGAGTCTGTTGGTCTGTTATACTAACTTGAATAGCATTTTTCTTTAAAAATACTTTGTTTCTTACCTCCTTCACTTGTTTTAGGGGTAAAACTGCTCTTGAAGATGGGGTGGAGTCGAGGCCGCACGATCAAGGATTCGCATTCTGATGCACTGTATGGTATGGTTTCACATTACCCACTTTTAGTTGTTTGCTCGTTTTTCATTTTATAACTTCTGATTAAAATTCATTCAAAATAAATTATATTGTAAAGAAGGGTTCATAGAGCTGTTTGGTTTGAGAAGGCATTTTTTTTTTATATTTTCTGTTTTCACTTTAGTTCCCATTTTTAGAATTTATATACAGTGAAAAGAATTTTTTTATCATTTTAAATTTTCTTTTCTTGTTTCCACCTTTTCTATATAAACTTCAGAAAACAGGAAACAAAAAAGTGAAATCATAAAATATTTTTTCAAACCAAACAACCCCTTTAAACTGGTGGCTGTTCTTCCTTCTTTTCTGGATAAAATCACAGTTCTAGATCCATGTGTTGCTAAAATCAGATCAAGATTGCTTTTTGTTCCTCTCCCTTGTTCGTTAATTGCATTTGATATTGTTTTAATATGTTTTCTAGTCTGAGATTCAGTAAGTATTTGTGATTTAGATTGTTATGTACATGCTTCAATTTTTTCAGCACTATACCAAAACAGGTTAGGAATAAATTATTACCATTTAATGTAATATTTATATTACATAAATTGTTTTATGGTTTTCATCATCTTTTTTCTATTTAGATGCTTGTCTTTCTTTTAGGCAACCGTTTCTAAAGGGCAAATTTATCTAATCAAAATAACATGCACTGATTGTAATAGGATGCATTGATTCTCTTTTCATTGATATTGTATTTTTTACTATAACTGTTGAGGTTCTAACATAAAACCAATTGACAATAGATGGAGTAACCTAACAGGTATTTAAATCATGGGCGATATGGGACTTCCAACAATAACCTTTCCTTTTGTGTAGAAGAAATTCACCCTTTTCATTATTAGGAATGAGCCTTTGTAGTATGGGCTTTTTGGCTGAGTTTTTAGGGTTGCTAGTTGGATTATCACATTTTAACTCTTCCATATTCATCTTTTTGTTATTGTTCTTTTTCTTCACTTTTCATCTTTTTCCTCCTAAATTACACCCTCTGTAATCCTGGCTTTGCCAATTTTCTTTGCAAAGATTATATAAGCTATTTATTCTTTTGTACTATTATTTCATATCCAGAAAATATTTTAATCTCTGTTCATGTAATTGTATTGTCTGTGTAGACGCCAGAAGACAGGCCCGTAGAGCTTTCTTAGCATTTTCTTCTGATGATCCAAAAGTGGAAGTTTCAGAGTCTGAGTCTGTCAAAGGTGATATTGAAAATTTTCCTGAGGAGCCTGTGAATGATGATGTCCAGTTTTCTAAGAGCACACCGGTGAGAAATTTGTTAATAATCATATATAAATGTATAGATTTCATATATGATTATCTTCTAATTGCTTGGTTGATTGTTTCTTTCCTTTCCAGTATGGTTCTTTCGGGATTGTGATGTGTGATGTGTGATTTTGAACCATTCAGAAAGAAACACACCCAAACACTTGCTTAATCCTTAGAGTAAATTCTGATAAATGATTAAAATAATTCCTTAGAGGAAGGGGGAGGTATTTTTGCGTATAATAAATAATTGTATCTGAGTTTTCATGTTAAAAATGTGCCAATTGCCAGGCATTTAGGCCACTCAATATTGCATGTAGGAAATGACCTTTGTTATCCTATTAGGCCTTACTTTAAATGATAAGAAATTATCATGTAGGTTTTGCTTCCAAATTTTGGAAAAGACAACAAGAACAAATATGTGATCAGATGATTGATATTTCAATATATTTGAAAACTATATTATTGTTAATTATAATATATTTGAATGGAGTAGAAAATAAGATGAATATTATGAGCGTGATATCTATTATACAAACCTTGAATCCAATGGTGGATTTTTCGCTGAATATATATCCTCATTCCTCAACAAACATATGATTTAATTATTCTGATTCAATTTTGCATTTATCTTGTAGCTGCTTGTTAGTACAGTTGTATTGATAATATGCATGCCATCTTTTCTTCAGGTTTATGTACTCAATCCAAAGCAAGACCTGCATGGATTAGGTTTTGATCCTTACAAGCATGCTCCTGAGTTTAGAGGTAAGCAATTTCTTGATCTATATATGACCACTTCTGATGTGGGTGCTAGAAATTCATATTTAATTGCATTATTTTCTTTTTTTACAGAGAACAAAAGATCACGCATAGCTAACAAGAGTGGACTTGGGTTCTCCAGTAGAGATAGTCTTTTTGGTTTGAAGTGTAAGATACTTAAAAACTGAGTATATGAAAAATATATTGCTCTAATTTTATTTAACTCTCAGCATTCTTTCATCAGCAGGAAAGGCTGCCCCCGGTTTTGGTATTGGAGCTCTGGAGGAGCTTGATGCTGAGGATGAGGATGTCTATGCCACTGGTTAGCAGTTCTGCTCTTTCATGTTAGGAGTGAACATTGTTTAACTTGGGATGCATGATAGGATGACGAGGCCTGATAGGTTAAAACCAAATGGTATACAGCCTAATAAAATTTTAATACTACGTGGTGTTTTGTGTGACATTGTATATTATTTGATATCATGCAAGATACTATTATGTTTGGTGATGCACTGTATACTGCTATGTACGATAAAATTTAATACTTTTTAGGTAAATATGTTCAGAAGTATATTATAATGATTTGACCCAGATTAGGCTAGAAAAATAGTTACTGCAAAATACCTTGATGAAACAGTAATAATCCTCTGAGTAGACATCAGAGATAAACGAGACTGGAAACAGTCATAAAGTCGAGCAGAGCTCTGAATCAACTATTGTCTTTGAATAGTATATTTTCAACACTCACTCTTTGCACTGTATTTTCTTGTATTGTATTTATGCTGCTGGTGCAGAATCATATTGATTCATTGATGCAAATATGAGTGAGAAGGACGTGAAGGGTCCAACAGATTTGTCAAAGTAAATTCTAGATGACCTAAACAAGGGGTAGGCTTTGAGGAGAGAGGGAAAGGAGGGAATATTTTGTAATTAACTCGACCTAGCTGGCCGAGAGGGAGGGGGGGAGGGAGAGAGAAGATACTTATTAAGGTAAGTACTTGAGAAAGAGGAGAGAAAAAATATGAGAATAGGGATGTGGGTGGGTTCTAGCGATTCCTTTACTAGATTATATGTTTTGACTCCTATATTCAAATAATACAAACAAATTTCTATACATTTGATCATAATCTATTTGCTAGTTGATAATTACCTATCAATTGGTATTCAAAGCGAGGTCCAGTTTGTTTGTTCCGGGAGGGATGGTGAGGTCCACGATTGCGTCGATAGACATACGAGTGGAGGCGTTGGAGAGTGAGCTCTAGAAGATGAGGGTAGGGGGACGAAATCAGATGGAAGAGTTGTGCCAACTAATCGAGAACCAGTAACAGGGACAAAGGGGGAGATTGCCTCAACAAAATCATGGAGGAAGTCAAGAATGGAGTCGCACATCCTCATGCTCGATATCGTAGCAGAGTGGAGGCAGTCATGTGCGACGATGTCATACTGGTGGTAGGAAGTTGGAGATTTCGTTTTCCAATAGTGAAGAAGTATATGGGTGATTGGTGAAGGTCAAGAGATACTTTCAGATCAACGAGGTTTTCGAGGAGGAATGTTTGGATGCAGTAATGATTGCATTGGAGGGGCGTGCATTGAACTGGTATCAATGGTGAGAAGAACAAATCACTTATAGGAGTTGGGAAAAATTAACACAAGCTATAATTAGGAGGTTCCAACCAAGTTTAGGTCAAAACCTAATGGGCCTGATACTAAGTGTGAGATAGATCAGAATTGTGACGAAGTATAGGGAGTAGTTTGAGATGTTGGTTACACCTCTAAAAAGAAATGAGAGGGTGTTGGTCTCCAACATCTTCCTTAACGACCTAAAGAAGCAGATACAAGTTGAGCTAAAGTTGTATGAGACACGTACTCTAAAGAGCTGATGGACAGAGCCATGCTTATTGATCCAAGAAGGATGAACAAGTCGAAGGTGGGGTCCGATAGTTGGGGAAGTGATCCAAGAAGGAGTAAAACTTATGTTTCAAAGCCCAAAAACCATGTGGAGGCCCAAATTGAGAATAGACCCAATGTAGCGGGTGTGGATAGTAAGAAACTAGAGTTGGATAAAAGATTGATGCATGAGGAGTTGAGGGAATTGAGCAGGAAGGGATTGTGCTGGCTGTGAAGTATGTGAAGCAAAATGAACAAGGAAAGCTAGAAATATTGGTGAAATCAAAACATCTTCCTAATTGTGACAATTCTTGGGAACTATTGGAGGAAATTAAAGCTATATTTCCTGATTTTCACCTTGAGGACAAGGTGAGTCTTGAAGGGGAGGGTATTCATGCAAATGAGTGAGAAGGTCGTGAAGGGCCCAACAGATTTGCCAAAGTATATTCTAGAAGGCCTAAATAGGGGTATGCCTTGAGGAGAGAGGGAAAGGAGGGAATATTATTGTAACTAACTTGTCCTAGATGGTAGAGTGAGAGGGGAGGGAGAGAGAAGAAACTTATTGAGGTAAGTACATGAGAAAGAGGAGAGGAAAAAAAAAATACTGGAATAGGATATGGGTGGGTTCTAGCGATTCCTTTTCTAGATACATGTTTCGTCTCCTATATTCAAATAATTCGAACAAATTTTTATACATTTGATCATAATCTATTTGCTAGTTGGTAATTACCTATCGTTCATGTATCTGCCCCATGATTTCAAAGATATCTATGATTCATGACATCATTCACATTATTGGCATGCCACATCATAGCAAATTGTGAGATGCTAGATCTATGGCTAGGGTATAAATGGAGAACTTTTATATGAGCTTAAACATCAAATAAAATCAAGCCTAATCACTCAATCTGAAGGCCCAAATAAGTTATTCATTATTATAATGTATAAGAAGGATTTATTGGATAAGCTTATGCTATATAGTACTTTGCACGGAATAACTAATAAAAGTTATATTGCATTAACTTATTACCTGGTTTCTTGAAAGTTATACTTCTTTGTCTGAAGAATGTTAGAATTAATGCTTCCTTCTGAAGATTCACTTTCAGCTTTCATGCTTTAGATAATGATTGTTCTCCCCATATGGTTGTGTATATGTTATAATTTTGTTTTACAAGAGAGGACAATTTCTATGAAGTAAGCTTCAGAGTGTAAATCTCTTCTATAAGAATGAGAAAAATATGCATAATATTTGCTTTTTTTTTTTTTTTTTTTTTTTAGGTTATGAATTTGAAGATGCTTATGTTCAAGAAGTAGAAGAACCTTCAACATTGAGATTAGAAAACCAGACAAAGAAAGAGAAGAAGGATCAGGGTGATCTGCCTGGTTTCAGAGTTGCATCCAATTCTGACTATAAAATGGAAAGGTTACAGAAGCAATTTATTTCCACACAATTCAACTTATATGGTTTTATTTTTTAAAAGTCTATATTATAAACTTATTGTTTTACATTTCTAACCTGATTTGGGTTAATAGGGATTATCATCATAATGTTTTAACAATTATTTTAAATTCTATATATGCTTGTCTTTTTTATTACTTTGCCTATTTTGTATTTACATGATTGCATATTAAACCATAATTATAAATTGATTTTCAGATTTGAGGCTCCTCTGGTTCCCAAGGATTTTGTGCCTCGCCATGAATTTTCGGGACCACTTGACATCAACCGCAAGACCTATGAAGTTACTCCACCAGATGCTCCTCCTCCAGAGGATGGAAATTTAAAATTATTAATTGAGGGGGTTGCCAATCTGGTAGCTAAATGTGGTAAATTATATGAGGATTTATCTAAAGAAAAGAATCAATCAAATCCATTGTTTAGTTTTCTTTCCGGAGGAACTGGCCATGAATATTATGCTAGGAAATTGTGGGAGGCACAGCAGAAACACAATGATCAGACTAGTCAACAATTGAATGGAAAAATGCCTCCCAGTGTGAAGAAGCTAACAGCTGAGAGCCGAGGCCAGATCTTAGGGGAAAAACCTCTAGAAAAAAGCTCCCAAATTCCATCCTCATCTGTTGCTTCTACTGATATTCAACTCCAATTTAATCTTACTGATACATTTACCAAGTCTGCGTCATTTGTAAGTAGCATAATCTTTCTGCTTAAACTCTAAATTTGAAAATATCATTGTGCCTTCAACTCAGATAATTCCTTAGACATTTCCGTGGAATCTTAATGATAATGGTACAGCTGAGCCTTCGATGGCCAGACTTTTGGCACAATGGTCACTAACCATACCATACTATTAAGCTTAGGGTTGTACTGGTTTATGTACAATAAAAAAAGTTACAGTGTGATTTATCCTCCCCTCTTTCGTGGAGACCTCTGTTCCTTCCCAAGACTGTAAATAACCAAATATTCTTGGATCTTTACTTATCTTTGCTTCTTTATTTCTTTATTTTTGAGCCAGAGTCAGTTAACGAATGTAGAAAATCCTTTCAAAGATGATCCAGCAAAGCAAGAAAGATTTGAGCTGTTTCTTAAGGAGAAATATAAAGGGGGATTACGCTCTGCAAGTTCTAGCTTAGCTAGTGATATGTCAGAGGCTGCTCGTGCTCAAGAAAGACTAAGTTTTGAGGCTGCAGCTGAGGCAATAGAAAAGGCACGACAGGGCAGGGGAAGCAAGCTTTTAAGTCCATCATCCATGGATTTTATCCCTGGTGGTGTTATGCAGTTTACTTCTAGTGAAGTAGAGGTACGACTAAAGTGATGTCCCTTTTGTTTCTTTCCCTACAGCTCTGGTTTAATTTGATGGATCCTGTTCTAACAGCCAAAGAAAGACTTAAAAGCTGAAGATATTTTGAGGAAGAAAATGTACCCTAAGAGGGAAGAGTTCCAATGGCGTCCTTCACCTCTTTTGTGCAAACGCTTTGATCTTATTGATCCTTATATGGGGAAGGTACTTCAAGTCTGTTACATTTTGAAGTTGTTCCTATATTGACTTTCTTGCTTGATTTGGAAAACAGTTTTTATTTTTTGTCTCTGTCAAATAATGATATTTCTTGCCTTTTGCAGCCACCGCCTGTTCCACGGATTAGGAGTAAAATGGATTCCTTGATTTTTACATCAGATTCAGTCAAAGGGATCAAAGTGGACGACCCTGAAACTTCAAAGAAGGAAATCTCATCTTTGCCACAATCTACTAATGAAGACATAACCAAAAGTATTACTGAAAACAAAACTGAGGGGGACGTGAAAGTTGAAAATATTGAAAGGCCAGTTGACCTATATAAGGTAATATCCAATTTCTAACCCTTTATGACCATTTTACTTTAAATTAATACTTTCACATGAAACCACGTGTCCTTGACAAAGCATATTTCCACATGTTTTTTATCACCTTTTTTGTCTATGAGCTTAAAATCTTAGGGGTAGCTTTTGATGACAATACATATTTGTTAGAGATCCCAAATAAAGTAGAGATATGAGTGTTTGTAAATAATATTGTTTGTAGGGCTTCCGGCTGCCTTCCCTTATTTTAGGGCTAAGGCTAGCTTTGTTAAGTAAGTTCCAAAGTGCATGGGTGGATCTTGATCTGGGTTCAAGGTATGCATTTTCTAGTTGTTAGAATATTGACTTCGGTTAAGTTGAGGTTTAGCAAAGTCAATCCATTGCTTGGGTCCTAGGAGGTCAGAGATCATAGTGTTGTGTTTAAGTCGTCTAGTAGTAAGAATGACTTTCTCTATGCCAATAAGAGTAAGAGCTTGAGAAGAAGGGAAAGAGGAAAAAGTATTCAAATCATTCACTCCTTTTCTTGAAAGCTTGACAAGTTAAAATATTTAATTGAATTACAAATCTCACCTTACAAGTCGGTTTTGTAAAACAGAGTTAGATATCTCTTCATTTCTAATATGGTATCAAAGTCGATGGTTCATTCATTGATCGGTTTAATCGAGTAAATATAAAGTAGGTGCTGGATCTTATATGAGTGAAAAAGATTTATAACTTAGTGTCTTAAGGTTTTGGGTTGAAGATGATGTTATATTCTCTTATATGATTAACTTGTGTTCATTTCATAAGAATCTCCATGTGGTAACCTCCTTGAAAAATATCCAACGGTCATTCTCTCACATCGAAGGGATTTCATCACATTCTCTCACATTGAAGGGATTTCATCACATTCTCTCACATCGAGAGGATTTCATCACATTCTCTCACATTGAGAGGATTTCATCATATTTCTCTCACATCGATAGGATTTCATCACATTTTCTCACATCGAGAGGATTTCATCACATTCTCTCACATCAAAAGGTATTTCATCACACTCCCTCACATCAAGAAGGATTTAATCACACCCTCACACTTCCTTATATCGAGAATGAGTGGTTCAATATCAATTTGAATTGTTCACGAATAATCTTCATTTTTAATATGGTATCGGAGTGTATCCTAATGAGATTTGTTAATATTTTACTCCATCCATTATCGATTCGCTATTAGATCAACCTTAATATTCATTTTCATGCTCTTAGGAGTTCATTCTTCAATGTGATAGGGTGTTGGAGATTCCGACATCGATTAGAGATATGACCAACTTATGTTTTATAATTGAGTTACAAACCTCATCTTTTGTAAAATTGAATTGAGTAGTTCTCCATTTCTATAATATTTAATTTGGTTTTAGTCTCAAAACTAAGCATGTTCCGTAGGAGTGGAGATCTATTTTAACGAATTTGAATGGTCATTTATCATTTGCACATATTATATGATGTTGCACTTGGCAACCTATAACAAATTTATTTACTGCAGGCTATTTTTTCTGATGATTCAGAGGATGAAGGGGGAGATTCTGGTATTGGGAGAGTGGATAATCAAGAAAAGAAAGCTGAAGTAGCTAATACGGCATTGAGCCGATTGATTGCTGGTGATTTTCTGGAATCATTGGGCAAGGAACTAGGAATAGGGGTTCCTCCTGATATGCCTTACGCCACACAGAAGTCCAAGAACATTGCACTTCAGAAAGAACTTGTTAATGAAGATACAAGAACTGACATCCTCAAGAGTCAAAATAATGACGAGATGTCCTTAAATCATGATTTGCCATATGATCAGCAGATCGCCCGTGAGGATGTTCCATCAAAAGGTGACACTATTCATGGAAATATGCGTGAGAGCAGTAATGTGAACAGCAAGGGAAACAGTACCATGAACTATAGACCAGACAAATCTCATGAGGAGAATATCAAAGATGCCAGGAAGGTTAAAACCCCTGTAACACACCGCCGAGATTATAATAGCAGTTCTTCATTAGAAGAGGAAAAGAACAGAAAATGCTCCAGACACCATCGACATAAGAGGCGCAATGAAGGAAGCGATTCATCCGGCGATGATGAAAGAGATAGACAACACAGTTCAAGGTCAAAAGGGAGAAGGAAAGGTTCTTCCCGAGAAAAAAGCAGAAGTGAAAAACACTCAAAACATCACAAACACAGAAAGCATGAATCTCCAAATAGATCCTCTCGTTATAGCAATGAGAAGGACAATCCACATTCCAAAAATGAGAAAAGGCGAAGGGAATGAGCGAGACTTGTTTACTTTGTTTTGGAGAACTTCTTGGAATTATGTTGGGGATTATTGTTGTATTAGATATTTTAATAGGTTTTGGGTTTATGATGCTGAGGTGCACCCTATGAATTTCATTTGCTCCTCAAGTCTCTTTCACATCTCTTTCTTCACTTGTTTGAAGTAATGGAGTTGGTACCTGATTATCTATGATAAAAACTGGGGACTCCTTTATTGAAAAAATAAATAAATAAACACAAAATTGGAAGTCGGGGCACTTCTTGGTCCCAAGGTCTACAGTGATGCATTTTATAACTTGGTTTAATCATACAAAAAATTGTTTTCTTTATACTTTTTCGCTAAAACACCAAGTATATCGGAAATTGCTAGAGATCCAAATGGATTTTGAATTCCCCAAGCTAAACACGATGTAGAATGCATCAGGCTCTTCACCATGTTAGAGGATTGAAAATTGGAAAACCAAATGTTGATCAGAAAACGACATACATGCTACTTTCCCTTCTCTGTCAAATAAAAGGGTTCATCATCAGCGGGGCAAGAAATATGATTGAAATGGAAAGAAAAGAAGCACAGTGGCTGGGAGCCCACCTTGAAAAAGGGAACGTAGCAATTAGGAAAAAAAAAAAAAAACTAGTATGGTGGCTTGTTTCATATTTCTTACTAATAATAATAATAATAATAATAAAATATATAGAATCTGAAAATAGATTGTACATTAGTTAATAAGCTTATTTTAATAGTTTTTAAAAATAAAATTAAACATTTTCTGTAGTGAAAATACCTTTTTTTATTATAACAGTAATTGAACATAAGATATGGCTGGATTGATCTGCAAACGAGAGAACTAAAAAGAATACTAAAATTGTTACACTTAAATTAATTTTTGAATTATCATGGAACACATCAAGTGTCGATAATGAGAAAAAAATAATAAGAGAATAAAGATGAAATGTGGTAGAAATTATATTTATTCATTTTGAGACATAGAAATAAAGAAAATATTTCATTTAAAATAAATAAATAAAATATTATATAATTATAAATTATTTTTTTATAAATAAAATAATTTTTTAATTTAGATATATTTTCTAATATTATATATTTTGGTATATAGTTATAAATTATTTTTGTTATAAAATTATAATTTTTTTAATATTAGGGTTTAAAACAATAAAATAATATCACATTAAAAAATATATAAATTATTTATTTAATTTTTATAAATACTTTTATATTTATTATATTATATTAATGTAATATATATATATATATATATATATATATATATATATATATATATATATATATATATATATATATATATACGATGAAGAAATATTGAAGATCTTAAAGATTTGATAAAATCAAAAGAATTATGAAATAGAAGATGTAGTGTTATGATCTTTTAGTGAGTCTATATCAATATTGATTAGGTCTAATCATCTAACCAATCGTACAATATGAGGTTCTATTATTTGAAAAGAATAAAAATGTCTCGAAAAAATTTAATCTGTTAAAAATCATTTTATTCCGTTAATTTGCTCTTAAGTATCGGATTTAACCGATACATTTATGAATTAATCGATTAGAATCACTTAAAGGAACTTGAAAACACTTTTGTCGTATTTTTAACCAATATATTTTCGAATTAATCAATTAAAATAGCTTAAAACATGTGAAAATATTTTCTGTCGCAGTTTTAATCGATATATGTTCGTATTAATCGATTATTTTCACTTAAGAAGTTTTGGAAAATATTTTGTCAATATTTAAACTGATATATCTTCAAATTAATTGATTAAAATCACTTAAGAAACTTTTGTATAATTATTTTAATCGATTAAAACATGTTTTTATCAATTAAAATCACTTATGAAGTTTTAAGAAATCCTCTACCAATATTTTAATCGATGTAATCTTGAATTAATCGATTAATATTATTTAAGAAATTTTCACACATCGCGTTTTTATCAATTAAAATGTCTCAGAAAAAAAATTTGTACAACATTTTAATCGATTAAATGATATTTTTATCAGTTAAAACCGTTAAAGACAAGATATTTTAATCGATTAAAGAGCGAATTAATCGATTAATTAGTTTAGTTAGTTAGAAAAATCTCTATATAAACAGATTTGCTTCAACATTTTAAAACACATCTTTTAGAAATCATTCAAGCAATCTTTAGAGATTTTTTCAAGAGAGAAGCGTGCTCCTTCCAATGAGAAATTTCAGGATTCTTTCTTGAGGTAATTTTTGTTCTTGCTTGTGAAGAAACTCATTCTGTATATTGAAATTTTTCATCTGCATAACTAGTTTGATTGTTCCAGTTTCTTCAACTCTTTTAATTCTTTTTAGTTTTTGTATACTATTGGTGTCTGGAAGATTGAACACTGGTTCTGCAACTGGAATTTGGTTGCAGGTTAGGTTCAAGAACTAGAATTTAGTTCTTGGTGTAGGTTGAGTATTTTGTAATTTGATTATGTAATCAAAACATTTTCAATCTAGTGGAACTCAACTGGAGATTGGTTGAGAACTAGACGTAGCCCAGTATTTTAGGTGAACTAGTATAAACTTGGTGTTTCTTTTCTTCACTCATCACTTTTCTTATATTTGTTTAAGTTTTCTTGGATTAATACTTGATCAGATCTCTTAATTGAAAGTGATGAAGATCTTATTAAACCTTATGATAGAATGAAGATTTTGTGGATTTGATGAAGTCAAAGGCTACTTGGGTTTAAGGATAGAGTATTTAGTGAGTCATCATCAATATCAATAGGTATTGATTCATATCTCTCTACTGCATGAGGTTTCATCATTTAAAAGAATTTAAAAATGCCTCTAAAAATATTTTAATATGTTAAAAATCAATGTAATTGATTAAATTGTTCTTAAGAAATAGTTTTAACCAATACTATGTAAGGTTAATCGATTAAAATGAGCTAGGAACATTCATAACAGAATTTTAACTGATATGTTTTCGAAATAATCGATTAAAACTATTTAAAATATTCCATGAAATTGTTTTAATCGATACATACTCAAATTAATCGATTATTTTCACTAAAGGAGTATTTGAAAACCTTCTTCCAGTATTTTAACTGATATAACTTCGAATTAATTAATTAAAATCACTTGAGAAGTATGAAAAAATGTTCATCAAGTATTTTAATCAATGTAACTTTGAATTAATCAATTAAAATCACTTAAGATGTTTTGAAAAGTGTTTTGACAGTATTTTAATTGATGTAATATTGAATTAATCGATTAAAATGACTTGAGATATTTTGAAAGATCTTTTGCCAGAATTTTAATTGATGTAAAATTTTATTAATCGATTAAAACAACTTAAGGAAATTTTTGCCAAGTGTTTTAATCGATTAAAACTTGTTGTTATCAGTTAAAATCACTTAGAAAGTTTTGTGAAATTTTTTGCCATAATATGAATCGATTAAACCGCGAATCAATCGATTAAAACAACTTAGAGAAATTATGTTTAACTGTTTTAATCGATTAAAACGTCGTCGCATCAGTTAAAATAAATCTGGAAAATGATTAAGCACATTTTAACCGATTTAAAAGAAAGTTTTAACCGATTAATTAAACCAGTAGTTGAAAAATAACTCTAAATAAACAGGATTGTTTCAACGTTTTAAAATATTTCTTTGAGTAATCAATCAAGCAATCATTAGAAAATTTTTTCAAGAAAGAAGCGCGCCACTTTTGTGAAGTTTTTCAAAGTTCTTTCTTGAGGAATTTTTACTTTATTACATGTGAAGAAACTCATTCTGTAAGAGCTGCATAATTCGGGGTTTGATTGTTCTAGTTTCTTCTCTTTGTTTCTTTTTTATTCTTTATTGTATTGTGGGTGTTTGGAAGTGTTGGACACTGGTTCTGTAGCTAGAATTTGGCTGCAGGTTGGTTCAAGAACTGAAACTTGGTTTTTGGTGAATGTTTGGTGCAATAACTGAGATTTGGTTCTTGGTGTGGATTGGGTGTTTTGTGATTCGGGTTTATAATAAAAAACATAATCAATCTAGTGGAACTCAACTGGAATTTGGTTGAGAATTGGATGTAGTCCTGTGGTTTGGGTGAACCAGTATAAATCTTGTGTGTCTTTCTCTAAACCTTTACTCTCTTTTATTCTGCTTGTGTTTTACATTGAACTGCTTGTTTTTCTTGATTCAAAACTTGATCAGAATTCATAATCTTTGAAATAGATAATATGTTTTCTTAAAAGTGCGAAAATCTTTCAAAGATCAATTCACCCCCTCTTGATCTCAGCCTACATTTCTAACATTAATCTTTGAAATTGTTAATCTGTGTTTGTAAGTTGCGAAAAAATTTGTAAAGATCAATTCACCCCCTTAATCTCAGCCTATAATTCTAACAATTGGTATCAAGAGTAGGGTCTTAAAAGTTAATCAAGACTTTTGGTCCTAGAAATTTTTTTGAAATGACTAAAAACAAATTACCTTTTTCTAAGGGAGCTTCTATCAATAGACCTCCACTGTTTTGTGGTACAAATTATCAATTTTGGAAGATCAGAATGAAGATATTTTTGTTGAATCCATTGATAGGAATATTTGGAATATGATTGAAATAGGTCCTCTTGTCACTGATAAAGATTGGTTTGATTTAAATGATGATGAAAAGATAAAAATCCAAACTGATTGCACTGCAAAGAACATTATTACATCTGCTCTTAACATGGATGAATTTTTCAAGGTATCTCAATGTTAATCTGCCAAAGAAATGGGAGAAGTCCTTGGGGTGATCCATGAAGGAACAACTTATGTAAAGAGAGTAAAAAAACACACCCTCATAAGAGAATATGAAATGTTCAAGATGCAATCCGGAGAAAACATTGTAGATATTCAAAAATATTTTACTCACATCATCAATCACTTGATGAGTCTTGGTAAAACTTTTGATAAAGAAGAATTAAATATCAAAATTTTAAAATGTCTTGACAAGTCATGACAACCCAAGGTTACAA